AAGCACTTATTCTACTGAGCCACCTCCCCAGCCCCTTTTTTGTTTTTTTTAAATTTTATTTATTTTGTTTTGTTTTGGTTTTTCCCCCTTTTTTGTTTTACTCTTTAAAATTAAAAAATGAAAGAAATGAGTACAGAAGCACAGGGGAAAATATCGGGTGGACAGACCAGGGTAAATGAGTAAACAGCAACACTGCGTCCTATGGTATTTAACAATGCTAGACATTCTCTGGTAAAAAGAGAGAAGTTAGGGCTGGGGAGATAGCTCAGCCACATAAGCACCTGCCTGGCAAAAGCAAGGCCCTGACAGGGTACAGAAGTTAGCACTGAAAAGCCAAGTCTAGTAAAACAAGAAGGAACAGGGAGCCCCTGGAGGCAGAGTGAACACATTTTGGCTTCTGCATACTGAGTATAGACACTGGCTAGGCATCCCTGAGTTCTGACCTTCCTCAGCTCCCCCCATCCCCAACTCTGTCAAATATGAGGATTAGCCAGGAAAAATCAGAATCTCGAGAAGACTACATAGAATGAAAACTGAGTTCAAAAGGAGTTCTTCGGGCCGGAGAGATAAGCGCCTGAGTTCAATCCCCAGTTCCACAAAAAAAAAAAAAAAAAAAAAGGAGTTCTTCAAATAGAAAGTAGTGCAAAAGGCAGACAAGGGTTAAGTAGATCAAAGAGGGGAAAGAATGAGGCATAGGACACAAATGACCAGCATGGAGCTAATCCTTGCTGGCTGTCCTAGCAGAACTAAACATTCACTTCTGTTCCCAAGAGTATCCCAATTTATTTTGTTGTTGCTGTTTTAAAGAGTACAAAGTGGTTCTAAAAAATTAGAAATGGCCGGGGAGATGGCTCAGTGGAATAAGCGCTTCCCTGGCAAGCACAAGGACCTGAGTTCAATCCCCGGTTCCGCAAAAAAAATAAATAAGTAAAAATTAGAAATGATACCATTTCGTTAAACAAAGTAATAGGAACTAAACAATGACTGGTGTATTGCATGTTATCTTCAAATTAGTTGCTTAGGTTACCAGATATAAACCTGCAAAATTGGCAGGAAAAAAAAAGTTTTAGGATATTAAAAAGAACAATTAAAAATTTAAGCATTAACTACTCTTCAACACACTAGCAGAAATCAGCAGTACAATTATCCAAAGTATCCTGCATATATATGAATAGATCTTTTTCCCTTCTTTTGCCAAGAGTACCCCAATTTGGAGGACAAACTACATGGTCACTCTAATCAGCTATCAGGATGGATACTCAGCTCAAGAGCAGAGTTAAAGCAAAGCTGATCAAAAAACTGACAAGAATAATTTCTCCGACCAGTGAGATAGCTCAAAGGACTAAACGCCTGCTTTGGCAAGCGCAAGGACCAGGGTTCAATCCCTGGTCCTGCATGCCGTTCCGGCCCCACCCCCAGGGTGCGCTGAGCCAGCTACAGAGTCCAAGTGAGGCGGCACACACCTATAAACCCAGTGCTGAGGAGGCTGAAAACAGGAGGATCACTATGAGTCCCAAGCTGCGTAGTGAGGCACTATACCAAAATACATAAAGAAAAAAAAAAAGAGTAATTTCTCCTTTTTTAGACAAAGACCTCCTGCCACACAGGTAACTGGTAGAGCAGACCTTAACAAATGCTACAGTAACAGGCCAGTGGAATCGCACTGTGTCAGCCCATACAAATCTCAGCCCATCTGAATGTTTTTGTCTCTAAACTTCAAATGTGTTATCTCATACAATACCTAGTACTGACAGACCTACCCTAGAGCACAGAAATGAGGAGTAAATGAATCATTTTAATGTAATATACTCAGCCACTCCAAAAAGAATGACATGCCACTGCCACCACACAAGGACCCATCAATAAAACACATGTAAATCCCAGGGAGCTGGAACGGCAGCTCTAGCAGCTGTCCTCTCCTGAACTAGGCTTGCTTAGCACCTGACTCGGACTCTTCTGCTTTGATTTAGGTAAATGTGTTTGTAATGGGGATGATCAAGACTTTTGCAATTTTTTTTGTTGTCTTTCAAGAAGAGTTCGAAGGTACCTCTGAGCAAATAAGCTGGATTGGATCCATCATGTCGTCACTTCGCTTTTCTGCAGGTATTAATTGGCAACAGACTTGCTGTCCTTGGCGAAGGTCCACAAAGGGTGCTGGTAACATTTAGGTTCTTTAATGAATATGCAGGAATATATGATGCCCATAAAGTAAGGCCTTACTATCTTCTATTTTTTTTTTTTTTTTTTTTTGAAGACACGACATAAGATGTGGCGCGGCGAGAGTTGAGCAGAGAAGTGAACTAATCATGTCTTTGTCACAGAACAAAAGGCAGATTCTGGATGAATATCACACTTCTTTGTCAAAATAAGGCCTTTTTTTTTTTTTTTTTTTTTT